TAATGTTTACGTACATCCTCCCATTTTCTTTTTCCAATACTATAAATTATTAAAAAAGAAATCATGCATATTTTAAGTCCTTCGAAATAATAATCACTAGTTAAACTTTTTTTTTCTTTTGTGCTTACTCGAACATTGGCATTAAGCATTCCTAATAAAAACATGTTTTGCTGACTTTTATTTAACTTTTGAAATAATTGATGTTTTTTTATAGCTATCTCATGATTAATCACATTATTAATTAAGCAATTCTTTGAGCAACAAGGAGAGGTCTTAAGTTTTTTTTCAAGTGCTTCGATATCTTGTTCTATCAATTTTTTATTAAATTGCAAATCTTCAGGTATTTCACTTTCTCCATCATGATGCAATGGTGGGTCTTTTTTCCAAATTTTATGAAATTTTTCAATTTGAGTATTAGTGAAAATCGATTGAGCTACATTATCATCTTTAGGTATTATTACTAATATACTCTCTTCATCATCTTCATCAGCATTAGTATTATTATCATCATAAACAATATCAAACTTATACTCTCCTTGTAGTTGTTGTAAGGCAGTATTTAATTCATGAAGTTCTATATGTGTGTCAATAAAAAGATTCTGAGACATTTTTTTTTTGAGTTTTAAAAATTTTCGTGTCAATTAAGAAGAAAGAAAATTGATAATCTAATACCTAACTTGTTTAATGATAAAAAATAAGAATTTTAAAAAGGAATTGATAAGGTTTTTAAAAAGGAATTCCATTCTTGTTTAATGAATGATAAAAGATAAGAATTTTAAAAGGAATTCAATCTGTTTAGGTCTTATAATTGCAAGATAACGGTTAAACTTGTTTAGATGCATTAGTTAAAAAGGAAAATTAGCGGCTAAATTTTATCTAAATGCCGATCTAATCAAAGCTAAAGTTTAGTTGTATTATCATGGTAATTAAAAACAACCTATTATTTATTAAATTGAAGATGAAAAAAAGAAATAGTTAGTAAAGTAAAAAAATAAATTCAGAAGAATATCTATACACTTGAACTTACTGTTTACTAAAACGTCAAACTAAAGCTTTAAAAAAAATCTACAAAAAATGAAATAAAAAATGATTAATGAAATTAACAAAAGAAATAAATTAAACAAAAAAAAACATTTACTTTAGAAAAAAATAAAAGTATGTATAGAGTTTGTATGAAATTGGCTACATTTTTCTCTTTAATTTTTATTTAAAAACAGTAAAAATGCTCAAAATAATTATAAAAATATAGTAAAAATAATTAAAACAATTTAAAATTAATAAATTTAACGCTTCTTTTATTATTAACAGCATTAAAAAAATAACTTTTCTTATGCGTCAGTTAAAAAGGGGGAAATTTGATGGCTAAATTATTTATCAATGCCGGCCCAATCAGATTTAAGTTTTTTCTTGTGATTCATCTCCTTATCAAATAATTTTTAATTGATCGACATTATGCATATTTCAGTTTTTTGACATTATCTCGAAAATTTATTATGCTTACTGGCTTACCAAATTAAGTAAAAAATAAGCACATCGTTAATTTATATCACATGAACCTAAAATCTCAAAATTGATTGGAAGGTGGATTTCCCCCTTTTTAACTGACGCACGCCCATATGATTAAATTAAATAGAATACTACAACACACTATCATTAAAATTAAATAAAATACCGCTATTAATATTAAATTAAATAAATACTATTATTATAAACTTAAATTAAATAAAATGACATATATAATTAATTAAATAAAACACCATGTACAATTAATTAAATAAAACGCTATATAATTAATATATTAATATTAAATTAATTAAATAAAGTGCATTTAAATGAAATTTTTTAAAATTTTATCCCCTCATTATTAGTATGACAGGTTTTTTGAATTTCTAATAACTTTTCGATTTGTTTTGATACTGTAAAGAAATTAATTAATCTTTTAGCCCTTGCAATCAAAGCTTTAGCTAGAAGTAATCCTTTTCCCACAACCAATTGTAAAGTATGTGCAGTATAAGGAAGTCTTATAAGTTCATCTATTAGTCTTTCAGCTCAAACCATATTGGAACTATTATCAGTGGTTACTATAAAAACCTTGTTATTTAAATTTCAATCAGAAATAATTTCACATAATACATTACAAATATGGTCACCAGTATGAAGGTAAGGTACATATTTAACTACTAAAATTGCTTCACAAAAATTGAAATCATTATCAATAAAAGAACATATAACACCAATATATCCACTTCGACTTCGAGCTGTCCATAAATCAATTGTTATATAACAAGAAATAACATGTTCAAGCTTTGCTACTATGACTTTTTTAATTTGATTATATGATTCTGCTAATAGTTGTTGAATTACTTTATTACATGGAATTTGATAATTTGGATCAAATTAACAAATAAATTCAGCTAATCCTTCATCATTGCATATACTAATTGGCTGATTATCTTTAATTAAAATTGCAACAAACTTTCAATTCTGATAATTCTTAATTTCTGGATTATTTATAATAATTATTCGCATCATGTCATCTACACGAAGTTGTAATAAATGGTTCTTTTTTTTCATTTCAAACATATTTCTTTTGTGACTTTCTTCAGTAATTCAATGTGTAGCAAGATGAAGGATAAAATTGTCAGTGGAACTGTTGCTTCCCATAAAATGATCGCATGGTTCTATGCCATTTTTTCGTTGAATCTAAACTAAACATTTCACAATTCTTTTATATTGTGAAGTTGATTTATATTGATCAAAATATCCCATATCCAACTTTGTCCCAGTAGTTTGACACGTGAAATCAAAATTAGCTGATCAGTTATTTTATTCAAATCTATTTTTTTTTGTGAATTTGTGCTAGTTTTTTATTGATTATTTGTATTGGTATCTGAATTTAATTCAATTACAGGTATTGATACCTGACTAAACTCTTTTTTGAAAAATTATAATTTCGTCAAAAGTTTCGTCTCTTTAATATTTTTATATAAATAAATATAAAATTATTATATTTTTTAATGTATTTTAATTCAAGGAATTTAGATCAAGTTAAATATAATTTCGGCAATTAAGTAAATAATTTCGTCATTAATAAAAAACTAGTTTCGTTATTTCAGTTTCGTCAATTTCGTCATATTAAGAAAGGTAATTTCGTCAAATATCACTAATTACAGGTGTATTTGAATTTTGTTTTTGCTGTTTTGATACTTTATACACATTTTACCTTGATCTTTTTGACCTATTTAATTCAGAATCTGACTTCTTTGCAGTCTTCTTGTAGTATTATAACCCTATCACTAGACATTCTTAATAGAAAGTAAAAAAAATGTGAAATGATATTACCTTCTTTTAGTTAGCATCACATATTAGCATATATTATGCATTTATACATTGATAAATCAGTGTTTTATAGATCAGTTATACAAAATCACATTTTATTATAGATATTCACAGATATCCATGAGTATCTGTATATGCGTAATTTAATATCTATTATATAAATTACTTATCTAGATATCTGAATATCTATATAGATATCCAGATAATGTATCTACAGGTAAAATCACTAGCGTGCAGAAACATCAAAACAGACTATATGAGAATCACCTATGTCTATTTTGAGTGGAGCATCCTGATTGCTTGTAACCATATACCCAGCATAATCATTTATTCATATAGTTTCAAGACCCTTACATTCTATAGCTACCATTCGTTCTGTTATAAGCAATTTGAGATGCCCATTAAATCTATGCTATTCTCCACTTGATATTTCAGTTTCATTTATAACAATAAGCTTTTGAGCTTGAATAGCACTATTAAAATATTTAAGAATTTTTTCCAAATCCGATATTGCAAAATGAAGATGTTGTCCTAAAACTTTGTCACCAATAAAATCAGTAATGATATTTTTCCTGCACTATTGTAATGTAGATTTTAGTACTAAGATAATTTGAGGCTTCTTCTCTGGCTTTTGCACTAAATATGCCTACCAGTTCCAGATATATTCGTCAAATCTTTCATCCCCACTACAAATTACGTTCTTTACATGTCAGAGAATCAGTTCCATAATTTTTTTGTTAATTCTCATTGCTGACTTGGCCAAAAATCCTAGAAAAAGATTAAAAAACTTTGTATTATGAGATGGAATATTTAGCAGATACAGTTGAAAATTAATATTGCAATAAAGGATTAGACCTTTGGTAACTGCCCGAACTATTAAATTAATTAACTTCACCGCCTCTCCTCCTAGCTTAACTAATCCTATAAGAAATCAAAATAAGGAAATAATACGTTTTTTATAAGGTTTGTATACGTAATTAATGATTCTATATCAAA